TTTTTTTTTTTTTTTGAGTCAGGGTTTCACTCTGTCACCCAGGCTGGAGTTCAGTGGCACAGTCACAACTCACCACAGCCTCTATCTCCTAGGATCAGGTGATCCTTTTGCCTCAGACTCCCAAGTAACTGGGACTATAGGCACATGCCACCACACTCAGCTAATTTTTTGGTGTTTTGTAGAGACGAGGTCTTACTATGTTGCCCAGGCTGATCCCAAACTTCTGGGCTCAAGCAGTTCTCCTGCGTTGGCCTCCCAAAGTGCTGGGATTATAGGCATGAGCCACCACCCAGCCTGTTTTATCTTTAAGTAAGATTTCATTTACTAAAGCCATCGCGAGAGTATCGTACTGCTCACATTCTTAAAATTTTAATTATTATTTTCTGTGGAGATGGGGTCAGGCTGGTCTTAAACTCCTGGCCTCAAGTGCTCCTCCTGCCTTGATCTCCCAAAGTGCTGGGATTAGAGGCATGGACCACTGTGCCCGTTTTACTTTTTTTTTTGAGTTGGAGTCTCACTCTGTCGCCCAGACTGGAGTGCAGTGGCCACTCCTGGCCACCGCAGCCTTGACCTGCTGGGCTCCAGCAATCCTTCCACCTCAGCGTTCCAAGTAGCTGGAACTACAGGTGTGCGCTACCACACCCGGCTAATAATTTTTTGATTTGTTGTAGAGATGAGGTCTCGCCAAGTTACCCAGGCTGGTCTCAAACCTGCAGGCTCAGGCAATCCACTCACCTTAGCCTCCCAAAGGTGCGGGATTACAGGCTGAGCCACCGAGCCCGGCTCCGTTTTACATTTTTAAGAAATTTGATAATGTTAAATTTTATCAGATACACCTCCAGCCTTTAAAAGGGGTCTGTTTTGGGTTTTGTTTTATAAATAGAAATAATGTTTCACTTTGTTGGCCAGACTGGTCTCAAACTCCTGGCCTCAAGTCCTCAAACTCCTGCCTCGGTCTCTTAAAGTGCTGGCCAGGTTCTGTTTTTAATTGTCCTGTGGCTGCATTTTATCAATGCACTTTCTAACAGTGATTTTCCTGTATGAATCTCCACTTCCTGTATGAATCCAGCTTATGTTGGATTTGTTTACATAACCTTAGGCTCTGTTAGTGGAATTTTGTCATGCCCCTCAGTGAGTTAGTCTCCTTTCCTATTTTGTCACTTTTAATCTCTAGGTTTGGTGTCATAGTCCTAACTTTGTTCTTCTGTGCAGGTGTCCTTACAGACCAGTCTTGGGGCATGACAGCTGTTGACCCATGGGCCTCCTGGGGTGAGTCAAGAGCCTGTGTCCCCATCAACCTTGTTGTGGTCTTTCCTTGTGGTGATCTGGCACAGCTGGGGATTGGAAGTGGGGACTGAGTGGGGCTTTAGGGCAGGGGGTTTGTGGTCTAGATCTCTCTCTACAGAGCTGGAACAAGGAGGATCAGAAAACTCTAGTAAGGGATAAGGTGATGATCTCAAGGACAGGATCCATGAGCACTCATTTATGGCCATTTAGGATTTAGGCCCAGAAAGGCTGTGAGCAAAAACTGCTTCTCAAAGGTGGTACTGTATAGCGGAGGTCCCCAACCCTGAGCCACGGACTGTTAGTGGTTTGTGGCCTGTTAGGAATTGAACCGCACAGCAGGAGGTAAGCAGTCAGTGAGAGGAGCTCTGCCTTCTGTAAGGTCAGTGGCAGCATTACATTCTCATAGGAGTGCAAACCCTATTGTGAACTGCGTGTGTGAGTGATCTAGATTGCACGCTCCTTATGACAGTCTACTGCCTGATGATGTTGTTCCCCACCCCCACCCCTGGTCTGTGGAAACCAGTTTCTGATGCTGAAAAGGTTGAGGACCAATGCTATATAGCATAGGGGGTAAGTGAGAGATTCATGTGTTCAGACACTTTACTAATCTCCGGTCCTTAATTCTTTCACCTATAGAATGAGGAAGTGGATCTTTTCCTTTGATCAAGGGGGAGGGGCAGGCCCTTCTCAGCCCACCTCAGTGAAGGGCTTATGTGGGTGAGCTTCTGGCAGGGAGAGCTGCCTCCGTGACTTCTTTCTCCTTCTTTAGCTCTGTATCCTCAGAATACTGCTTGGCACGTTGAGGGGAGCCCGGAGGAGGAGAGGAGGGCCACCAGGCTCCCAACAGCCCAGGTCCAGGTGAGATGGGGTTTCCACCTATTCCTGAAGTGCTGCCTTGCTCTCAGGGATGAGTGTCCAGGTTACCCCTGGCATTTCCAGTTGAACTAGTTCCTTAATTTAGAACAGCTGGAGTTTGGGGAGAGAAGGAATCAGCTTTGGAAGTTTAGGTCGTTTTTCATGACTTGGAGCCTTGCTGTCAACCAACCTGTCCACAGTGTCTCTGACTGTCCCTGGGTTTTTGTAGGGGATAAGGGACAGCCCTTTTGACTGGTAGCTCCTTCCTCTTACCTCCTCCCACCTTCATTCATGCATTCACTGCCTGATTTAGGCTCATGCTGTGCAGTGAGCTCCATGCTTGCTGGGAAAGGAACAAGAACAGCCATGAGCTTCTACCCTGAGGAGCTACCAGACCCCTCTCCAGGGCTATTCACTCAACTAATGATGCCTGCTGTGGCAGCACATGCAGTGTGGGACATGAGAAGGCTGAGACGGTAGGGAGGGCCCAAGCCCTGGAGGAGGAGTTCAGTCCAGTGGATGCCTTGGGAGATGGGACAGAGTCTGCGGAGAGTAGCTGGGATCCTTTTGCTGTGGAGGGGGAGGCTGCCTAGGAGACCTGGATCAAGAGGTGAAAGAATGCATCCACCAGATGGAAACAGCCTGATGAGCGGGAATCTGGCCTCCTGCAGCAGTACAGGGTGTGTTTGAGGGGCTGGTTAACATAATATATGACCAGTGTTTGGGCAAGGATTTATTGTAGTTAGATTTTAGGCTGGAGAGGCCAGGATGAACTCAGCCAGGGCCTGAATACTGGAGTTGATGTGGGGAAGGTGTTATCTCCCTCCTCTCCTGCCTAGCCTCTTCACCAGTGGCAGGCACTTTTAAAAAGCTTCTTTTGGAGCTGGGCTCGGTAACTCAGCCTGTAATCCCGCGCTTTGGGAGGCTGAGGTGAGTGGATTGCCTGAGCCCGCAGGTTCGAGACCCGCCTGGGCAACTCAACAAGACCTCATCTCTACAATAAAAAAAAAAAGTTTCTTTTATAACAACTTTATTGAGGTAATATTTACATATTATAAGGCTTACCCTTTTAAATATAAGTATACTATGTGGTGGTTTAGTCACTCACTGTTCCCCTTATCCCCTGCCCCTGGTAACCACTAATGTACTTCCGTCTTTGTGAATTTGGCTATTCTGGACATTTCACATAAATGAAATCATATAATATGCCACAACCTTTTGTGTCTGACCTTTTTCACTTAGCGTAATGTTTTCAAGGGTCATCTGTGTTGTAGCTTGCATTAGTATTTTATTTCTTTCAATGACTGAATGGCGATCGTTTTTAACTTTATGTTTTCAGTTTTTTAGGGTTGTCTCCATGTCTCTAAATGGGGAATTTTTAGTTTTTCCTAATTCATCAAATTTCCATTCTTTTCATTCTTACTATGAAAGATGAGGAAAAATAGTCTCATTACTTAGGTTTTTTAAATTTGTAAGTTATTGAATCAAGCATATTTGAGATACTGTAATGTGCAAAAATATTTAACATCTCTTCTTACCTTTATACCTTCCTCAAATTAAAATAAATTAGTAAAACCTCCCACAATTTCAAAACTGATGAGTGAAGTGCATCATAACTCTGCTGTCCCCGCTTGACAGTGTTGCCATTCCCTGAGAATCAGAGAGGCCTGAACCACATGATACAGGGTAATTGTTGTGTGGCATCAGAACTTGGGCATCTGTGAGGTTTGCTTCTGTTACAATGTAGTCATTATTAGGTCCTGTAACAGAATCATAGGCAGTGAAGGCAGGCTAGCCTGAAAGACAGGCCCTGAGTCAGTATCTTAGGAGCTACAATTAACTGTAAGACCGGGCACAGTGGCTCATACCTGTAATCCCAGCACTTTGAGAGGCTGAGGTAGAATTGCTTGAGGCCAGGAGTTTGTGACCAGCCTGGGCAACAAAGCAAGACCCCATCTCTATGAAAAATAAAATTAGCTAGGTGTGATGGCATGTACACAATATAGTCCCAGCTACTTGGGAGGCTGAGGTGGGAGAATTGCTTGATCCCAGGAGTTTGAGGTTACAGTGAGCTATGATCACATTATTGCACTCCAGCCTGAACGAAGAGTGAGACCCTATCTCTTAAAAAAAAAAAAAAAAAAAGAAAGAAATTAGCTGTAATAAATACTTCGAAGAAGCCCTGTTATTCATTGTACTGTACGCTGCTGTTATTTTATGTGAGGGTTTCTGAGAATTATCAAAGTTAATGCTGAGAAAAATAAAACAATTAAAATAACAACACCCTCCATGTCTGAAGAGTTGTGATTTCTGAGAACATTTTCCTGGCCCCCTCCTCACACTCACTTTGGATTTTTCCCTGTGGAAAACTTGGACTTGAATCACATGGGTTTTTGAGATCTTCAGAAACACAAAGGAGCCCTACATCACTTTGTTGTTCCCTGCAAGTTAAATCTTTATTTGAATAAAATACTTACGTGGTGAAAACATCAAATGCTGTCATCCCTCATTATCTGAATAGTCTGTTCTTAGAAATGTGTTGAATAGTGAGGTATTAGCAACATAAGCCTGGGTTTCATTATTCTGAGGAGTAGGGGGAAATAATAATAGTGATAATATCCCAGTCCATCTAAAAACCCCAACCAGCCTCCCCAAATATGGAAACACTCTTGAAGCTTTCTGTAATAGTGGAATTCTACCAAAGAGGCCATCTGAATTGTCCCAGGTTCCACATAGGGGACAGCTATCAGGGTACTCAGATAATGAGCAATTGGGCAAGATTCTCTCAGCAGACATCTGAGCACCCTTGGTCTCTACTCCTTCAGACCCTCATAGAGTTGAAGTGTGTCTGATATGTTAGCAGATTCCTCAACATGCTCTAGAGTGCCTAGATAAACACATATATATGTACGAAGTAATGTGTGCAAGAATGTTGACAAGAATTTGGGTGAAGCACTTGTAAATCATCCTAGGATATGATTGCAAAGTGCAAATGCAACTCCTAAGTGTTACTTTGACTTGAACCCAAGAGCGCACTCCTTTCTGGGGGTGCGACCTTTCTCTTTCCTGCACCCGGACCTCTCAGTGTCAGTTAACATTGAAGCTCCTACCTTTGGAGGGTCCCTCATCACAGCTGGTAAGAAGGGGTGCCTGTCTTGCACTGTCTCTTCTAGTCTCTTGGTTTTGTGTTTTCCTTTGCAATCCTGGTGGAAGTGTTTACTGTAATTCCATAATAGAAAAGTATAAACGGTAATCAAGCCAGTAGCATCCCCATCACTGAATGAGCAATTAATGTTTTGTCATATATAATATATACATATTTTACATAGTTCTCAATCACATTGTCTTAAGGCAATATTTGTCTTGTAGATTCTGTTTTTACATAGCGAATTTACTTTCATATTCAAACTTAGGTAATAAACTATACACAACAACTCCACAGTCTATTTTTTGAACAATTTTTTCTACATGTAGTTTTTCTGTAGATTTCTTACTACTGTAAGGTCCATCCTTGTTGCTGAATACTACAGATAGGTCAGGTTCATTCTGTTTACACTGCTGGGTAGTAGCTGTCAAAGGAGTGCACATCTGTATTCATCTTTTGGATAGACTTTTAAGTCCTTTCCTTCATCATTTTTGCTGTTCCAGCCAGAGCTGTGTGAACATTCCTGTAGTTTAGTTTCACTCTGTGCACGTTTATCTAGTTTTTAGGCATAACACTAGAAGCACAATTTAACTTGGTTTTAAAGTGTGTATATTTTCATTATTACTAATGCTGCTACATGGCTCTCCAAAGGGGTGAAGCCACTTCTCAGTCTCCCCACTCTGGGAAAAAGTGCTCATTTCCCTGTACCTTTGTCAACACTTCACATCATCAGGTCTTTTCATTTTTGCTTACATCAAGACTGAAAAGGTATATTGCATGACTTTAATTTGTATTTTCTTGATTGCTGGTGAGGCTGAATATCCTTTGATATCTTTTTTTTTTTGAGTTGGAGTCCCACTCCATTGCCCAGGCTGGAGTGCAGTGGCTTGCTCACGGCCACCCCAGCGTCGACCTTCTGGGCTCCGGTGATCCTTCCATCTCAGCCTTCCAAGTAGCTGGAACTACAGGCGCGTGTTAACCACTCCTAGCTAATTTTTTAATTTATTGTAGAGATGAGGTCTCACCATATTGCCCAGGCTGGTCTTGAACTCACGGGCTCAGGCAATCCACTCACCTCAGCCTCCCAAAGGCACGGAATTACAGGCTGAGCCACCGAGCCGGCTCTCCTTTGATATCTTACTTAGCCATTTGTATTTCCTTTTGTCTCTGTTTCCTCCCCATCCCTAGATTTCTAGACTGACTTATTGATAATGTAGTTGTTTCACATGCATTCTGGATCCTGATTCTTTGCCATATATGAATTATCTTCTTCCAGTCTGTAGTTTGTCTAAACTTCTAGTAGTTGTTGATTAATCACTTGTTTTTTGGTATGTTTTTGTCAGATATATCTGTCTTTGTTTATGGCTAGTGATTTTTTTGTTTTGTCTTATTTAGCAAACAATTTCCTCCTGTACTTTTCCCTTCTGGAATTTTCTGTTAGATGGTGAGCCTCCTAAACAAATTGTTGCCTTTGATATTCCATGTCTCCATATTGGTGGGTAAGTGGAGGCTGATGATTATATTCTCACCATCATAGAACTATACTGTGGCTCCTCAACTGATTACTGTGTTTTCTGCCTCTTCTTCATATTCTGTAAGCTCTTTTTTGTTTTCTCAGGGAACCTCTTGTAGCGTCCTCCCCCATATTGGAATCTGAGAATAGGAATTAAGAGTTCATTCATTTAAAGTTGGATGTCGCTGCTGTCTACATGTAGATTCTGTGTCAGCTGCTGAGTTGGGTCTCTACCTGTGCATGAGGTGTTCCTCGAGGCCAAGAGTCCTCTAGTCTGTCCATATTTACCAGGGCATGGCTGTGAGACTGTGTGAGAGTCCCTCTGCTGAGCAGGTCTGGGTCCTGATTGGTGCCCACCACTCCCCCACCCTCCTGGCAAGACTCACTCTGGACGTTATGATCTTGGGTAGGCCAGGATCTGTGGGTCAGTTCTGCTTCTAGTTTCACTGGTATGGGGCTGTCAGGCCTCAGACTCACTCCCTCTTCCCCCATGTGGGACTAGAAGAGGTATCAACTCACCTGGGCACCTGAGAACTTCCCACACTCCACCTAAATCTGAGAATGCTCCTGGGAGTTTTGCCCAGTTACACGTGCAGGGTTGATGGTAGTACTGCCCACCAGGTAGGGCTGGCAAACCTATCCCCAATACTGACCTTTGCCCAACTGTTTTCACCTGACCCTCTCCGGCTTTTCTGGGGTCCTCCTGTAGCCAGCTCCTTCACTGTAGGTCAAAAAAAAACCCAGAAAAAATCTATTTCAACACAGTCTTTTTAAAACTGGGTTATTATAAAACATCTGAAAATTGTAACTTTTTTTTTTTTTTTTTGAGTTGGAGTCTCACTCTGTCGCCCAGGCTGGAGTGCAGTGGCATGCTCCCAGCCACCGCAGCCTCGACCTGCTGGGCTCCGGCGATTCTTCCGCCTCAGCCTTCCAAGTAGTGGGAACTATAGGCGCATGCTACCATGCACAGCTAGTTTTTTTATTTATTGTAGAGATGAGGTCTCGCCAAGTTGACCAGGTGGGTCTTGAACCCACGGGCTCAGGCTATCCACTCACCTCGGCCTCCCAAGCCACGGGATTACAGGTTGAGCCACCGAGCCCGGCCTTTTTTATTTATTATAGAGACAAGGTCTCGCTAAGTTGCCTGGGTGGATCTCTAACCCATGGACTGAGCCATCAAGCCCAGCCTTCTTTTTGTATGTATATATAAGATACATACTTTCATATTTGTGTACCTATAAATATTTCTGTGTATGTATCTAAGAGTTATATACCTTTTAGAAAATAACCATGATGGCCGGGCTGGGTGACTCAGCCTCTAATCCCAGCACTTTGAGAGGCCAAGGCGAGTGAATTGCCTGAACCCGCAGGTTCGAGACCAGCCTGGGCAACTTGGTGAGACCCCCCCCTCTACAACAAATCAAAAATTAGCCAGATGTGGTAGCACGCACTTGTAGTTCTAGCTACTTGGAAGGCTGAGGCAGAAGGATCACCAGAGCCCAGCAGGTCGACGCTGGGGTGGCTGTGAGTGTGTCAGGACACTCCAGCCTGGGTGATGGAGTGAGACTCTAACTCAAAAAAAAAAAGGCCATGATTTCTTTATCACACCCAGAAAAATTACTATTACTTTCTTAATATTACCTAATACCCAATCCATGTTCAGTTTCCCCCTTTTGTTCCTAAAATGTCTTTATAGTTATTAGTTTGCTCAAATCAGGATCTAGACAAAGTCCACATATTTATGTGTTTTGTTTGTATGCTGAAGAAACTAGGTCACTTATCTTGTTGGTTTGCCTGATTTTTACCTTCATGGGTTTCCTCCATCTGCTTTTTGAGTTGGAGTCTCACCCTGTCGCCCAGGCTGTGTCCTGTAAACTGGTAGTTAGACTAGAGGCTTGAGTAGATTCATTTGGTATTTTAGGCAAGAATGCTCCATATGTGGTTCTGGGTCCTTCCTACTTTGTTACATCTGTGGGCACATGATATCTGGTTCCATTTTCAGATGGTATGATGGATTGTTCGGTGCAGGTACTGTCAGACTGACCCCTCCGTTATAAAGTTCCCTGTCTGCTTTTCACGTGTGGCTGAGCAGTCATTGATGGTCATTGCCGATGTCCACTGTTTCATTAGGGGTTGCAGAACCACACTAATGATTTCCTTCAAAAAAGAATTAGATGTAATTCTTCTATTCCTTTTTGTTTTTTTAGAGACAAGGTTTTACTGTGTCACTACAGCTGGAGTACAGTAGTGCGATCCTGGCTTGAAGTCCTGGTTTCAAGTGATCCTCCCTCCTCAGCCTGCAGGGTAGCTGGGATTATAGGTACACACCACCATGCCCAGCTAATTTTTTTGATTTTTTTTTCAGAGACAAAGTCTCACTATGTTGCCTAGGCTGCTCTCAAACTCCTGAACTCAAGCAATCCTCTCTCCTCAGCCTCCCAAAGTGTTGGGATTGCAGGTGTGAACCACTGCACCCAAACAGCAGGGGACATTTCTAAAGGGGAGACTATTTATGAGGCATAGTCTCTGAGGGGGTGGGACACAGAGGCAAGGTTGACCCAGCCGTGGAAAGAGGATGGACTATCCTTACAGGCTACAGTAAGACTGAATGTGGAGAGTGTCAGCAGGAGTTAACTTTTCAGGGTAAGAAAATCATTGGAACAGAATCAGTTCTTAGTTTTAAGGCAATCGTGTGAAGGTGGAGGGGGATCTGTTCAGAAAGAATAACAGTCATGTACTGAAGACCCAGCCCTGGAGTCTGGCCCAGGTCAGAGATGACCAGCTTAGTGCATACACTGTGGCAAAGGAGGACTGCAGGAATGGCTGTATTTGCTTAGAAGATAAGTGACGTAGCTGAAGGGGTATGAAGGGGTGTGGTAGAGGTCCAGAGGACCTTTGGTTAGGAAATGGTTCATTGAACACACATATCTTTTCAGTGGGTGTTTGTCTTGGGGTTGATTTTGTACAGATGATGGAGGTAGATCAGAAGCCAGTTTCTAGACTGGGGGAGGATCATAGTGTGCAGACAGGTCATGGGGGCTGAGAAGCAAGCAGGGGCTGTGGGGCTTACGGTACACTCCCTGCCCCACCATGAGAATGCCCAGATACCTGAGGCTTGTGTTGGCTTCTTAAAAGGACTTAAAGGAACATGTTCATTGCAAAAATCAGACTTGGGTTGCCATTCCACTTCCCCTCAATATTTCCAGTTAATTCTGGTTCCATTAAAATAGAAAAGAGCCAGTTTGGATTGTTTTTAACTCAAGTATTTTTTAATGGCAGCCATAACAGATTCTTCTTGGCCTGGGCTGCTGTGGGCCATTTTTACCCTTAGCTCCAGTCCTTGGGACAGAAATGATCTGGGAATGGAAGCCTCGGTACTGTGACCAGGAAGACATCCTATGAATGTTCAGATTTCCCTTCCAGGTCCTCAGATCCTTATGTTGGAGCAAAGACTTCAGCCCCAAAGTCTCTGGCCTGCAACCAGTGCTCACAGCCTGTTTCTGCTCTGGTCCAGGCCTTATTAAGTGGCTGCATTTTCAGAGGAGGTGTCATTGCTCAGGTGGGAGTCCTGTTCACACTAGCCAGTGTGCCAGAATTGGACAAGAGTCAAGAGAGACCTTCTCATCTTTACTCTGGTTTTGTGGACCCAGGTATCTAATTCCCTAAGAGTAAACGCCAAATGCAGGGTCCTAGGTGGTTCCCAGTGAGACCTGATCCACATCAGATAGAATCTTGAATATTCAGGACAGTTCTTCTACATCCTGTCTCCTCTCCCTGGGGCTGTCAGCCTCACTTCATCCCCAGAAACATTGAAGGGGGTGCTCCCACGCTGAGAAGGACCATGTGTGCTCTTTTAGGAACCAGTGACCTTCAAGGATGTGGCAGTGGACTTCACCCAAGAAGAGTGGGGGCAGCTGGACCTTGTTCAGAGGACCCTGTACCGTGACGTGATGCTGGAGACCTATGGGCATCTGCTCTCTGTAGGTAAGGCAGGTGCTTCCCAAGTAAATGAGGCTATTCCCATTGCAGAGTCTTCAGCTACTGCATGTTTAAAAGCTCGTTGTGGGACAAGGAAAGTGTCTCAGAAGGGCTGAAGTGATCTTGAACCCTGAGGTTTAGGGACATAATTCCTAAAACTTATGAAGCACGAAGTGGGAAGGACCATGCTCATTCTGCCCAAGTGAGAAGTCACAGCAGGGAATAGGCAAGGGAATCTGTCTTTGGTTGCCCTGAAGTCTTGTTACACAAGTCCCGTGTTTTTACTCCATGTGTAGGGAACCAGATCACCAAGCCTGAAGTCATTTCCCTCTTGGAGCAAGGAGAAGAGCCATGGTCGATGGAGCAAGCATATCCTCAAAGTACTTGTCCAGGTGAGGGTAGGCCAAGTATGAGCAAGAAACTTTTCTCCAAGCCTTCCCTTTTGAGACATGGGCTAAGGCCATGAGGAGTTACCTTCCTCAGATACATTCAGAATTCTCTCTGAGGAGCTTTCTCCCTTGTATTGACTTGCTGCTTTTGGTTTAGAGTATAGATGCCCCCACCTTCTTAATAAAAGAGCAGTTTTGTGTGCTGCAGTTTCTCTCCCTTGCCATCTACTCTCTTGGTGGTTCTCATATTCTCTGCTGTCCCTTTCTCTAAGGTGACTTCTCATTCATTTACCTAATTAAACACGCCTATTTCCTTTATTGCCAAACTTATAGCCTATAACCACAGATGTATCTTCTAAAAAACAAATAGGTTTTTAAAAATATAGGTAATATTTGAAAAACTCAAAGCTATAAAAATATATAAGCTGAAAAATCTCATTTCTGCTCCCTGCTCTTTTTTTTTTTTTTTTTTTTGAGTTGGAGTCTCACTTGGTCGCCCAGACTGGAGTGCAGTGGCCGCTCCCGGCCACCGCAGCCTCGCCTGCTGGGCTCCGGCAGTCCTTCTGCCTCAGCCTTCCGAGTAGCCGGAATTACAGGAATGCACTACCACGCCCGGCTCATTTTTTGATTTATTGTAGAGATGAGGTCTCACTGCCCAGGCGGGTCTCGAACCTGTGGGCTCAGGCAATCCACTCACCTCAGCCTCCCAAAGGCGCGGGATTACAGGCTGAGCCACCGAGCCCGGCCTGCTCCCTGCTCTTATCTACATTATACAGACACAAAGAGCACCACACAGGCACATACACAGGTAATCACTTTTACTATTAATTTTTTTAGACCTGGCATTGTGGCTCATGCCTGTAATCCCTGTACTTTGGGAGATTGAGACAAGATTGCTTGCATGCAAGAGTTGAAGATTAGCCTGGGCAATATAGTGAGACCTCATCTCTGTGAAAAACAAAATAAATTAGCCAGACATGGTAGTGTGCACCTGTAGTCCCAGCTACTTGGGAGGCTGAGGTGGAACGATCTCCCGAGCCCAGGAAGTTGAGGCCATGGTGAGCTATGATTGTGCCATTGCACTCCAGCTTGGGCAACAGAGTGAGACTCTAACTCAAAAAAAAATTTTTTAGTGAGACTCCAACTCAAAAAATAAATAAAATTTTTTTTTTTGAGTTGGAGTCTCACTCTGTCGCCCAGACTGGAGTGCAGTGGCCGCTCCTGGCCACCGCAGCCTCGACCTGCTGGGCTCCGGCGATCCCTCCACCTCAGCCTTCCAAGTAGCTGGAACTACAGGCGCGTGCTACCACGCCCGGCTAATTTTTGATTTATTGTAGGGATGAGGTCTAGCTAAGTTGCCCAGCCGGATCTCAAACTTTTTTAAAGTTATTTTCTTAGTAGTAGTCCTCGGGATTACAGTTAACGTCTTAATTTATAGCAATCTCATTTGGATTAATACCCATTTAATGTTGATGGTATATCAAAACATTGCATCTGTATAACTCTGTCCTTTTATGCTGTTATTGCAAATTTGTAAAGATGTACTGCAAAGATGTACATTACATCTTTATTGTGTGTCCATCAGCATAGATTTATATCTATGTTGATATCTATGTTGTCTTTTAAATCAGATAGAAAAAGGAGCAGCTGGATGCAGTGGCTAATACTGTAATCCCAGCACTTTGGGAGGCCAAGGTAGGTGGATTACTTGAGCCCAGGAGTTCAAGACCAGTATGGGCAACATAGTAAGACCTTGTTTCTACTAAAAAATTAGCCAAGTGTGATGGCTCATGGTCCTAGCTGCTTGAGAGGCTGAGGCAGAAGGATCTTGTGAGCCCAGGAGGTTGAGGCTGTGGTGAGCCACGATCATGCCACTGTATACTAGCCTAGGTGACAGAATTCAAAAAAAAAAAGGAGCTACAAACAAAAAATATATTTATGCTATGCTATCTTGTTATATTTACATATGCAATTACCATTATTAGTTTTTTATTTTAAGTTATTGTTAGTGTTCTTTCATTTCACCCTGAGGGACTCCCTTTAGTATTTTCTGCAGGGCAGTTTTGCTAGTAACAATATCTGTCAGATTTTGTTTATCTGGGAATCTTTTGATTTCTCCTTCAGTTTTGAAGAATTTTGGAGGATATAAAATTCTTGGTTCTTTTTTTTTTCTTTCTTTCTAGTCTCCATGGTTTCTGATGAGAAACAAGCTGTTAATCTTATTGAAGATCTTTTATTTATTTATTAATTTTTTTTTGAAAGCAGGATTTATTGAGAGAACAGAAAAGCTCCCACAGTGGGAAGGGACCCAAAGGAGTTGCCCGAGGATCTTTTATATGAGACAAATTTCTTGCTGATTTTAGGATTCTCTCTTTGACTTTTGACAGCTTAATTATGATGAATATGCCTGTCACCTTCTAGGCTGGAACTTTTTAAATCCCCTATGGACATCTTATTCCTCAGCTTTTCCTTTTCATCTTGTTGGTTAGTGTGTTTTTGGCCCCACCTATTTGCCTTTGCCTATAAATGTTTGCCAAGTAGCTCCTCTCTAGATGCTTTAACACCATGTAAGTTCCCTATCAGGCAAATCAAAGACCAACCATTCCAGTGGGGTCTTCCAGGGAGCCACCAGGCAGGTCCAGTAATGACTGTTACTTGGGAATGAGACTTTGAAAAAGCTCCAGCTTTGTTCTGCTCATTCCAGTACTGGAAGTGGGTGCTGTCATATTTCAAGGCTACACTGGCGCTGGAGAGCTATAGATGGGACCTGGGTAAGTTAAAATACCACGCAGTTCACTGTTCTTACTGATATTCAGTCAGTTTTTTTAATAGTTGTTCCCTGGTTATTGCATGGCTTTAATCTTTAAATCTGAAAAGTAGATTGTGACATTTTTTGCCAGTTTTTTAGTTACTTTTATGGAGGGGTGAAATTTTAGTATTTTAGTTGTCGTTACCTTGACATTTTCACTGACATTCTGCCCCAGGTAATCACTTGTACTAATTTCTTTTTTTTTTTTTTTTTTTTGAGTTGGAGTCTCACTCTGTTGCCCAGACTAGAGTGCAGTGCCTGCTCCCAGCCACCGCAGCCTCGACCTGCTGGGCTCTGGCAATCCTTCCGCCTCAGCCTTCCAAGTAGCCGGAATTACAGGCATGCGCTACCACGCCCGGCTGATTTTTTGATTTATTGTAGAGATGAGGTCTCGCTGCCCAGGCGGGTTTTGAACCCACGGGCTCAGGCATTCCACTCACCTCAGCCTCCCAAAGGTGCGGGATTACAGGCTGAGCCACCGAGCCCAGCTAGTAATTTCTATTGTATGCTTAACAGAGTTTGTTTATGCAACTGCAAGCATATAGGAATTTTCAGTTACTTTTCATGTTTTTCAATGGTAGGATACTATACACATTATCTTTTTTTTTTTTTTTCTTTTTTGCCAGGCTGGAGGGCAATGGCGTGATCACGGCTCACTGCAGTCTCAACATTCTGGGCCCAAGTGGCTGGGACTACAGGTGCATGCCACCACTCCTGGCTGATTTCTTTTTTTTTTTATGTAGAGGTGATGTCTCACTGTGTTGACCAGGCTGGTCTCAAACTGAGATCAAACAATCCTGTTGCCTCAGCTTCTCAAAGTTCTGGGATTACAAATGTGAGCCATCCTACCTGGCATTATCTTGTTTTTTTTTGAGTTGGAGTCTCACTCTGTCGCCCAGACTGGAGTGCAGTGGCCGCTCTCGGCCACTGCAACCTAGACCTACTGGGCTCCGGTGATCCTTCTGCCTCAGCCTTCCGAGTAGCCGGAATTACAGGCATGCGCTACCACGCCCGGCTGATTTTTTGATTTATTGTTGAGATGAGGTCTCACTGCCCAGGCGAGTCTTGAACCCATGGGCTCAGGCAATCCACTCAACTCAGCCTCCCAAAGGCGCGGGATTACAGGCTGAGCCACTAAGCCCGATTTATCTTGTTATTTTTAATTGAACAGTGTGTGCCACAATCTCTTCTTGAGTCCCAAAGGTGGAGATCTCCCACCTCCTGTAATGAAAGGGACTTTTGTGGAATCTCACCAGGTGTCCCCTATTCAGATCAGAAACTTCTCCTAAGAGCTCATGAATTCCAGTATCTTTAATTTTCCTACCCTCATTGCTGCCCATTTTCAGTTACCATCCTAGGCCCTGTGATCCTACCACCTCCATCCTTACACTTTTCCCATTTTACAAAGCATCTCAGTGGTTTCCTTGATTTCACTAGAACTAGGAATTTCATCCCTTTTTTTCTAGATGTTTCACCATCTTCTTGAGGTGTGTTTTTGGGGCTAGCCTTCTGCAAGTCCTCTAAGCTGGTGTTGAAGAGTCATCTTGACTTCTTGCACTTTCCTCTTCAAGAATAATCAAAATAATCCCTCTTCAACTCCTGAGATTTTCTTTCTCTGAAATGTTTGTGGTATCATCCTGGTTCCACCAACATCAGCCTCAGTCAGGCCTCTTCCTCAGAAAATTTCAGCTCATGTTGATGAGGAAATTCTTACTTGTTATTGAACTGTTAACACCTCAGGTGTTATTTCCAGATTTCTGTCTCTTAAATATTTAATTATTAGGTCCCCATCAGTAAACCTACAGTGATTCCAGTTGCCTTTTAATAAACAAAGCAATTAGATTTTAAGACCTTCCAAATTTTTACTTTTCTCATTTCCTGAATAGCTCCTATAGTTGATTCAGCTGGCATTCTTACTGTCTTCCTTACGTGTTGGTTATATCATGCATGAACTTGTATTTAGGCTATATCCAAGCCATGCTTGAAGGTTGAGCTCATGTCTTTTCTCTTGTATGAACTATCCTTGAGTGCTTCTGTCAGTGCTTGATCTCTATTCCTGTTCTCCTACCTACTTAGCATCTATAACCCCACCATCTTTCAGTGTTATTTCATGTATATTGTTTGGTATGTCCTTTTTTTTTTTTTTAGTTGGGGTCTCACTCTGTCGCCCAGACTGGAGTGCAGTGGCTGTTCCCAGCCACCGCAGCCTCGACCTGCTGGGCTCTGGTGATCCTTCCGCCTCAGCCTTCCAAGTAGCTGGAACTACAGGCGTGCACTATCACACCCGGCTAATTTTTGATTTCTTGTAGAGATGAGGTCTCGCCAAGTTGCCCAGGCGTGTCTCGAACCCATGGGCTCAGGCAATTCACTCACCTCAGCCTCCCAAGGCACGGGATTACAGGCTGAGCCACTGAGCCCGGCTTTTTTATTTTATTTTTTTAGTTGTGTATTCTCACTCTGCGACTCAGATTGGAGTGCAGTGGCATGCTGCTCATGGCCACTACAGCCTCGACCTGCTGGGCTCAGGTGGTCCTTCCACCTCAGCCTTCCAAGTACCTGGATCTACAGGCATGTGCCACCATGCCCAGCTAATTATTTATTTATTTCAGGCAGTCCTCTCACCTCTACCTCCCAAAGTGCTGGGATTACAGGTGTGAGCCACTGCACTATGTCCTTCCATCACATAGATTCTAACTTCCAGGGAGACCATACTTGCTTGCCTATCTCTGGTACTGGTTATTTAGTAGGCCACAAGTGCTGAGTGAATGTAAAGTTAAGTAAGAATTGTTCATTCAGTCTTTTGTTTGGTCAGGGAATTGATCATCTTTTTTATTTTTTATTTTTTTTATTTTTTTTGAGTTGGAGTCTCACTCTGTCGCCCAGACTGTATACAGTGGACGCTTCCGGCCACTACATCCTCAACCTGTTGGGCTCCAGCAATTCTTCCGCCTCAGCCTTCCAAGTAGCTGGAACTACAGGCACACGCTACCATGCCCAGCTAATTTTTTTGATTTATTGTAGAGATGAGGTCTCGCCAAGTTGCCCAGGCAGATTTTGAACCTGCGGGCTCAGGCAGTCCACTCACCTCAGCCTCCCAAAGCATGGGATTACAGGCTGAGCCACCGAGCCCGGCTGATCATCTTCTATTTTTAAAAGTTTCTACTGGAAGGATTTAAAAGCTATATAAAGACCATTCACTAACTTTTAAGAGCTGAGTTTGAAGTTGATAATAAGTGCCAGTTCTTGAGCAGAGCCTCTTATGATGAGCTTAGGGCTCGTGACCATAATCCTAGTGTTTTGTTTGACTGAGATGGGGGCATCACTTGAAACTGGGAATTTGAGACTAGCCTGGGTAACATAGTAAGAACTCATCTCTACAAACAAAAGGACTTGGGTAGTAAAAGGGGGAAAATGCTGCAGAGTGAAAAGAAAAGAGGAGAAATTTAGAGAGAGGGTCTAGGTCCTCTTGAGATGTGAGGCTTCAGACCTGTGTCAGGCTGAATAGTGACACCTTCCCACCAAAGATGTCTGCATTCTAGTGTCCAGAATTTGTGAATAGGGCAGCTTATGTGGCAAAAGGGACTTTCACATTTAAATAAATTAAGGATCTTGAGATAGAGAAACAACCATCCTGGATTATCTTGGTGGATTCTAAATGTAATTTTTTTTTTTTCTGAGTTGGAGTCTTACTCTGTCACCCAGACTGGAGTGCAGTGGCTGCTCCCGGCCACCGCAGCCTCGACCTGCTGGGCTCCAGCAATACTTCCGCCTCAGCCTTCCAAGTAGCTGGAATTACAGACATGCGCTACCACGCCCGGCTGATTTTTTGATTTATTGTAGAGATGAAGTCTCGCTGCCCAGGTGGGTCTCGAACCCGCGGGCTCAGGCAATCCACTCACCTCAGCCTCCCAAGGGCGTGGGATCTAAATGTAATTTTAAGGGTCCTTATAAGAGTGAGACAGAGCCGGGCTCGGTGACTCAGCCTGTAATCCCGTGTCTTTGGGAGGGTGAGGTGAGTGGTTTGCCTGAGCCCGCGGGTTCGAGAACTGCCTGGGCAACTTGGCGAGACCTCATCTCTACAATAAATCAAAAATCACCCAGGCGTGGTAGCGCGTGCCTGTAATTCTGGCTACTCGGACGGCTGAGGTGGAAGGATCGCCGGAGTCCAGTGGGTCGAGGCTGCAGTGGCCAGGAGCGGCCACTGTACTCCAGTCTGGGCTACAGAGTGAGACTCCAACTCAAAAAAAAAAGAGTGAGACAGCAGGGTCAGAGACAGAGGAGGTGTTATGACAGAAGCAGAGGTTGGAGTGATGTGCTTTGAAGATGGAGGCAGGAGCTGTTAGTCAAGGAATGCAAGCAGCTTCTAGAAGATAAACAAAGGCAAGGATACAGATTTTTCTTAGAGCTCCTGGAGGGCGTACAACCCTGCCAGTAACTTCCTTTTAGCCCAGTGAAAGCTATCTTGGACTTCTGACTTTCAGACTGTAGGATAATATATTTGTATTAAGCCACTAAGTTTGTGGTAATGAGTTACAACAGCCAAAGGGAACCAACATAGACCCCTTTGGTTGTTGGAAAACAGATACCTCAGCAGTGATAATAGGTTGCTCTTGTATACTGAACTGGCCAGGCATCTTGCTGGATTCACTCTCTTTAATCACCAGAAAAGTCCTCTGAGGATAGTGGTAGAATCAGTATTTAAATGCATATTAGCAGATTTTATCTCTCATGTGTATTTCATCAAGCTATGTTGTGTTTTCAGCCATCTCTGATATTATTGTTCTAAAAACAATTTTCTAGTTGTTAGAAAAATTGTAACTTTAGGAGTATCCTTAAACACGATATTTGCCTTTGGGGCTGGTAAATTGTGTGATTGACTAAACTCTATGAAATAGGAAGTATGTGATAGCATTTTATCACAGATAATATCCTGGCTTGAAGCCTTGCTTGGTGATTTGCTCTCTTAACCCCACCCCCTCCTTTTTTTGGCATTTGCTCAGATGGGGAGTAGAAGGATATTATAAATTAATTAGGGCACTAATAGTTAAAACATTACTTGCTAAGGGCCTGCATGCTCATCCACCTTTTATTAACATGAAAGGCTCTATTCTTACTTGTTCATCTTAGTAGCATTCACTGTGTCCTTTTATCAGGGGTCCTCAAGACCACCTCTAGGTTCAGTAATTCACTAGAAGGATTCACAGGACTCAAAAATCATCATACATAGGATTATGGTTTCTTACAGTGAAAGGATACAAAGCAATATTGACAAAGGGAAATGTGCAAGGGGTTAAGACCAGGTGCAGGCTTCCAGTATTCCTTTCCCAGTGGAGGTACACAAGACATACTTAATTCCTCCAATAAGTTGTGGCAGCATGAATGAAATGTCTACTAGGAAACTTGCCTCAACCTAGGACTCTAGGGTATTTATTGGGGGTTGGTCATGTAGGCACATAGTGCCTGCATAACTGACTATGGAACTCCAGATCTTTCCAGAGGGGAAGCAAGTGTTCACTATAAATGACATTATTTGCATAAACTATCTAGTGAAATTGGTATGATGTAGTTCAATGCCTTGAGCATGCAAACACTCTTATTAGTAGAACGCTCCAAAATCTTAATTCCCAGGAGTTGGCCAAGGCCAGTCATGAAACAGGCCATCTTAAGAATGTGCAAGGTTTGAATAATTCAGGCCTGTAGAGTTAACTGTTTTCTACATACCCTTATTCTGGTCTTGCTTTTCATGGGAAAGTACTCTTGTATGGTTTTCTTTTCTTTTCTTTTCTTTTTTGTGAGTCTGAGTCTCACTGTCCACCCAGGCTGGAGTGCAGTGGCAACTTCATGGCCACCGCAGCCTCGATCTGCTGGGCTCAGGCAATCCTTCCTCCTCAGCCTTCTAAATAACTGGAAATACAGGTGTGCACTACCACGCCCTGCTTAATTTTTGATTTATCTCACCTAGTTACCCAGGGTGGTCTCAAACCCCTGAGCTCAGGCAGTCCTCTTGCCTCGGCCTCCCAAAGTGCTGGGATTACAGACTTGAGCCACTGCTCCCGCCAGTTTTATTGAGTTTTCAGTACACACGTTGTATTCTAAGTTAACTCTTGTTCACTTTTCGCTTTTCTCCTCTTCCCTATTTTGATCTTTCTCTGAGTTCTAAGTCTACTTGAAAGCAAATTTATGCTTGCCTTTTTGATAATATAGACAATAAATTTCACCATTCTCACTCTATTTTAAGGTCTTTCTCTATGCTCTCACAGCTTTTTCTGTCTATTTCAGAATGGATGAGAAGTCTTGAAAACAAAGCATTGATCCCAACCCAGAACATTTTTGAGGAGGAACAATCCCATGGCATGAAATTGGAAAGATACATATGGGATGATCCTTGGTTCTCCAGGTTAGAAGTTTTGGGATGTAAAGACCAATTGGAAATGTACCACATGAACCAAAGTACGGCCATGAGGCAAATGGTCTTCATGCAAAAGCAAGTGCTATCTCAAAGAAGCTCTGAATTCTGTGAACTTGGGGCAGAATGTAGCCAGAACTTAAACCTTATTCCATCTCAGAGACTTTCTCAAATAGAACATTTCTATAAACCTGATATACATGCTGACAGGTGGAGATGTAACTCAGCACTAATGTATGCAGATAAAGTTACCTGTGAAAATAATGATTATGACAAAACCTTCTATCAGTCCATTCAGCCTGTTTACCCTGCAAGAATGCAGACTGGAGATAATCTTTTCAAATGTACTGATGCTGTTCAATCTTTTAATCATATAATACATTTTGGTGATCATAAAGGAATGCATACAGGAGAAAAACTCTATGAATATAAGGAATGTCATCAGATATTTAACCAGAGCCCATCATTTAATGATCATCCAAGACTTCATATTGGAGAAAACCAGTATGATTACAAAGAATATGAGAATATCTTTTATTTCTCATCCTTTATGGAACATCAAAAAATTGGTACTGTAGAGAAAGCATATAAATACAATGAATGGGAGAAAGTCTTTGGGTATGACTCGTTCCTTACTCAACATGCAAGTGCTTATACTGCAGAGAAACCCTACGAATATAATGAATGTGGGACATCTTTCATATGGAGCTCTTACCTTATTCAGCATAAGAAAACTCATACTGGAGAGAAACCCTATGAATGTGATAAATGTGGTAAAGTTTTTAGGAATCGTTCAGCCCTTACTAAACATGAACGGACTCACACTGGAATAAAGCCCTATGAATGTAATAAATGTGGAAAAGCCTTTAGCTGGAATTCTCATCTTATTGTACATAAGAGAATTCATACAGGAGAAAAACCTTATGTTTGTAATGAGTGTGGGAAGTCTTTCAACTGGAATTCACATCTTATTGGACACCAGAGAACTCATACTGGAGAGAAACCTTTTGAATGTACTGAATGTGGGAAATCATTCAGCTGGAGCTCCCATCTTATTGCCCATATGAGAATGCATACTGGAGAGAAACCCTTTAAATGTGATGAATGTGAAAAAGCTTTTAGGGATTACTCAGCCCTTAGTAAACATGAAAGAACTCACTCTGGAGCAAAACCATATAAATGTACTGAATGTGGAAAATCTTTCAGCTGGAGCTCCCATCTTATTGCCCATCAGAGAACTCACACGGGAGAGAAACCCTATAACTGTCAGGAATGTGGCAAAGCATTCAGAGAACGCTCAGCACTCACTAAACATGAAATAATTCATTCTGGAATTAAGCCCTATGAATGTAATAAATGTGGAAAATCCTGTAGCCAGATGGCTCACCTTGTTAGACATCAAAGGACTCATACTGGAGAAAAACCCTATGAATGCAATAAATGTGGAAAGTCCTTCAGTCAGAGCTGTCACCTAGTTGCTCATCGGAGAATTCACACTGGTGAGAAACCCTATAAATGTAATCAATGTGAAAGATCCTTTAACTGTAGCTCTCACCTTATTGCACATCGGAGAACTCATACTGGAGAGAAACCATATCGGTGTAATGAATGTGGGAAAGCATTTAATGAGAGTTCTTCCCTTATTGTACACTTGAGAAACCATACTGGTGAAAAGCCCTACAAATGTAGTCATTGTGAGAAAGCTTTCTGTAAGAATTCTTCCCTTATTATTCATCAGAGGATGCATAGTGGAGAGAAACGCTTTATATGCAACGAATGTGGAAAAGCCTTTAGTGGGCACTCCGCCCTACTTCAACACCAGAGAAATCACAATGAAGAGAAACTGAATTGAATTGATGTGAGGTTTTTCTTTTATTGTACATTTGATAACTCATTGAAAAAACTAGAAATATAATCAAGAGGGGACACTTCATTGGAAGTTCAATAAGACTTCTATTATTTAATAGAAAATATCTTCTTAGAAGAAACCCTATAAATGAAAAGAATAGAGAAAAGCTTTCAGCAGTTATGTAGCCCTTATTCAAAATCAGATAATTACAGTGAAGGAAACTCTAAACTCCACCAGGAATCCATACTTGAAGAACATGACTGTGGGGAATGAGGCATCTTTTAGCAAGAGCTTTCACCTATTTATAGATTTGTGTGAATTTTTAAAGGAAAAACCTTATGCGGAGAAAAGTGTCTTGACTGGAAATATACTGTTTGCATCAAGCTAGAATATTAGATGGAAAACTTTAACACTCTGTGTGTGATTATAGAAATACAGATTTTGCTATTGTAAGATTTTGCTATTTCTAGGTGCCCTTTAAGAAATAGAATATGAAATACTAAATCTGAATTTAAGAATAAAATAGTATTGAATGGGGTATTTACTGTTGATCAAGATTAACCTCTTTAGCAAAGATCAGTAAATGAAATTACTAATGGTGGAAAAGTTATTGCCTAGAAGTATGAGACTCATGTTGTTGGACAAAAGGTAATACTTAATAACCCAGTGTGTCAGTGTCCATTGTTTACTCATTACTTCATTGTTGGGCACTTAGTTTGTAATTTTTTAGGTAATCACTATGAATTATAATTATGGACACCACTTCAATATATGTAACGTGAAGGAATAAAAAGGTCACAGGATTGTATATACATATTTACCATGTCCAAAAAACATGTATTTGGATAAGAACCTGAGAAATTAACTCAATTAATTTAAGATTAAAAAAAGTTTTACAAATACATATAGCACTTACATTGTGCTAGGCTTTGTTTTAAATGCTTTCCAAGTATTAACAGTCCCCTTAACTCTATTAGATAAGTACTATTATTATCCCAGTTTTACAAATGGGGAAACTGAAGCAGAAATGTTGAGGAACCTACCCAAGGACCGCAACTAGAAGGAGTGAAGCTGAGATTATTTGGCTTCAGAGTTTATGTTTTTAACCACTGTGTTATGCTGCCTCTCCAGTGAATTTTTTTTTGTATTTTTTTCCCTTTTGTTTGGTGTTTCTATAGTTGAGATTTGATAATAAAAAGAAAATTCTAAACAATGAGAAAGTTGCCTGGTTCCTGTGTCCTAAAGGATTTCTGGTGGCATGAGACTAGGATCCCTTTGGAATATGAAGAAGTCTGGATCGGACATTCAGAGTCATTGTATATTCTGGGTCCTTAGTTACCTTGATTTCACTGCCCACAATCCCAAGGATTTCAGGGCAGGAGGGCATGGAGGACTCACTGGTTTGGACAATCCCCTTCATGGGTTTAGAATGCCTCTCATAAAGCAAGGGTGTTCATTCTATTACGTAATCGGACACCACTGCTCTTTGGAGCACCATTTCTCAAGGTCTCCTTTGAATTCAGTGTTTATTTTTTCTTTATCTTTTTCAGATGAAAAGATTATGATAGGAGGAAGAGTCAAAAGGGAAGGGAGGTAGCCAGTCCCCTTAAAGGAAAGATATCTCTGAGAACTCAGGTGAGAAGGGGTGAGATGAATCCAAGGACTTGGGTGGCATTACTCCATAAATATGTCCTGTATTTTCCCTAAGTTCAGGTTGTAACAAGGGACCATGGATCCTGGGTAGGCTTCAAGGGTATTGAACAGAAATCTGGAGTTCATTAGGTTCATCTAATCCTTAGGGGATCTGACTCCCCAGTGGTTGAGAAATGATGGCCTACTGATATAATGGGGAGGCTGTGCTCACCCTCTGACTCCTCTAACTTGAGCTCTCTTAGGTATGTAATATTTGCTTCCTTACCTTTCAGGGTCTGATGTCACCAATAAATGTTACAGGAGCAAATTAAGGTTATTTATGGATTTCTTACGTGATTTGTGCAAAGACCCTTGGAGAGAATAGAGTTAGCAATATCTCTATAAGAGAAAGTGGCAATAATGTATGTAGAATCATACATCCAGTGTGATACGGATATTCTAACACAGCGAATCCAAATTCTCTGATTCAGAGATTTCCAAGGGATTTCCTAAGTCATGCCATATTCCACCAGCATCCTGGTAACTTACTTTACAACCTTACTACCATGCTTATTACCATTATTATTTGAGTTGGAGTCTTACTCTGTCACCCAGACTGGAGTGCAGTGGCACACTCCCGGCCACCGCAGCCTCAACCTACCGGGCTCCAGTGATCCTTCTGCCTCAGCTTTCCAAGTATCCTGAACTACAGGCGTGTGCTACCACACCTGGCTAATTTTTGTTTTTTTGTTTTTTGAGTTGGAGTCTCACTCTGTCGCCCAGACTGGAGTGCAGTGGCCACTCCTGGCCACCGCAGCCTCGACCTGCTGGGCTCTGGCGATCCTTCCGCCTCAGCCTTCCAAGTAGCTGGAACTACAAGCGCGCGCTATCACGCCCGGCTAATTTTTTTTTATTTATTGTAGAGATGTCTTGCCAAGTTGCCCGGTTGGGTCTCGAACTCGTGGGATCAGGCAATCCATTTGCCTTGGCCTTCCAAAGTGCTGGGATTACAGGCTGAGCCTCTGAGCCCAACCTATATATATATATATATATAATTTTTTTTTTTAAAGGGCCTCTTGTGGCTTAGCCCACATCACAAGTCAAAAGAAAGTTCCAGACTTCTTCCTGAAAGTATTCCCCCACCACATATCACATACAGCCTTCTATAACACTGAAGTATCAACACTGACTTCAATGTTCCCTTATGTCCAGTACTCCCAGGTCCCCTTTGTCTCCCTCCTTCAAACCCATATATTACTTAGGTCATTGCCCTTTTTTGACCCCATCTTCCAATCCTCCCCAACTCTGACACTTGCTGGGCTTGCGCTCTCTCAGCTGTGAGTCTACCCTAAGCACATTGTCTTCCTTCCCAGGGTGACTGCTTTCTCTCCCACTCTTCTTATTCACTGTTTTCAGACTGTCCTCTGTTCTTTCTCCCTAAAACTCAGTTCCAACTCTTGGGTCACCAGGTGATCAGCCACTACTTCAAGCTGCAATCATACCAGTGGGTCACTCAACTGCATATCTCGATTTCAGCACGTGCCTTACCACATCTAAAATCTCCCGAATCATAATACTTCCTGATACCAATATCCATGTTATGATTTTTTTATGTCCTAACCTCACTATTCTTTGACCTCTTTTCTGCCCATAGTTTTACCCTCCACCCTCCCACAGCAAGTTGCTCCCATTGTCATTCCTGGAACTATCTCAACAGTGATGAACTCCTTCACCAATCTGTTTCAAGCATCTCTTCCTGAGCTAGTTGACTGTTTAGTACTTAGATTCAAACAATCCTGGACTGAACCTTCCCTCATGGCAAGTCCCAGTAGATGAGTTTGCTTCCTATCTTCCTGAGAAAATAGCAATCAGCAGAGGCCTTCCATAACATCCCTCCTCCTCTACCCTCTTCTGCACTGTCAGTGCCTTTATATGAGCTGGCTGGACCTGTGCACCAGAGCCTGTACACCTCCGCTACTCCAGGACATCTCCCCTATTTCCTGTATCATTAATTTTCCTCTATATACTAAATGATTCTTGTCACTGTGCAAACATACTTCTAAAACAAAACTTTCTTTTTTATTTTTTGAGTCGAGGTCTTTGTTGCCTAGTCTAGAGTACAGTGGCATGATCACAGCTCACCGCTACTTCAAACTCCTGGGCTCAAGCATCACTCCAGCCTCAGCCTCCTGAGTAGCTAGGACTACAGGCTCATGCCACCACACCTGGCTAACTTTTTGTAGAAACGGGGTCTTGCTATGTTGCCTAGACTGGTCTGAAACTGGGTTCAAGCAGTCCTCCTGCTTCAGCCTCCCAAAGTGCTGGCATTACAGGTGTGAGCCACTGCACCTGACCTAAAACATAATTCTTGATATTACATACTCTCCAAGTTTCTGCCTCATTTCTCTTCACTTTAGACAGCAACATTTCTTGAATTGTCCATTCTTGCTGTCTCTGCTTCCTTTCCATTTTTTCTTGAGCCCACTTCAAACCCATCTTGCTGCTACCTGACCACATTGCTAAATGCCGTGGTCAATTCTCAGTTATCCTCTTCCTTGACATCAGCCACAGCATTTTAGCCAGTGGACAACTTCCTCCTTGAAATATGTTCTTCGGCTTGGTAGCTCAGCCTGTAATCCCACGCTTTGGGCGGCTGAGGTGAGTGGATTGCCTGAGCCCATGGGTTTGAGACCTGCCTGGGCAACTTGGCGAGACCTCTTTTCTACAATAAATCAAAAAAAAATAATTAGTTGGGCATGGCGGTGTGCACCTGTAGTCCAGCTACTTGGAAGGCTGAGGTGGAAGGATCGTCTGAGCCCAGCAGGTCAAGGCTACGGTGACTGTGAGCCAGGGCAACAGAGTGAGAGTTGGACTAAAAATAAAAATAAAAATAAGGCCAGGCTTGGTGGCTCAACTTGTAATCCTAGCACTTTGGGAGGCTGAGACAAGTGGATTGCCTGAGCCCACGAATTCGAGACCAGCCCAGACAATTTGGCGAGAACTTGTCTCTACAATAAATAAAATATTAGCCGGGCTTGGTAGCTCGTGCCTGTAGTTTCGGCTACTTGGAAGACTGGGGCAGCAGGATCGCTGGAGCCTAGCAGGTCGAGACAGAGTGGTCTAGCCTGAGCGACAGAGTGAAACTCCAACTCAAAAAAAAAAAAGACTAATTTTAAATTTTGTTTTATTTGCTCTCACACGTCTGCTTCTGATGGAATCTGTAATGCAGTGTGTTATTTTTCTTTTGAAATAGTTAGGCTTAAGCTGGGCTCGGTGGCTCAGCCTGTAATCCCAGCACTTTGGGAGGCTGAGGTGACTGGATTGCCTGAGCCTGCGGATTCAAGACCCACCTGGCCAACTTGGCGAGACCTCATCTCTATAATTAATCAAAAAATCAGCTGGGCATGGTAGCATGCTGCCTTCAGGCCAGTCACCCACCCTGTAATTTCGGCTAGTTGGAAGGCTGAGGCAGAAGGATCGCTGGAGCCCAGCAGGTCGAGGCTGCAGTGGCCGGAAATGGCCACTGCACTCCAGTCTGGGCGATGGAGTGAGACTCCAACTCAAAAAAAAAAAGAGAGAGAGAGAGAGACACTAAGGATGTGTGAGCACAGAGGACAGGCTGTGTGAGAACACAGCGAGAAGGCAGTCACTGGCAAGCAGAGAGGTCACCCCTGCTGACACCTTGACCCTTGGACTTCAAGCCTTCAGAACTGTGAGAAAATACATTTATTTTGTTTAAGCCACCTGGGCTGCTTTTTGTGATAACAGCCCTCGCACACTAGTACAGGGGCATTCAGGCCAGAGTAGGGAGAGAGGGGTCCCCAGATCAGGCAGGCTGTGGTCACAAACCCTAGGTAGGCCTGTGTCACCCATGACCTGAACTCTGAACTGGAGACCCACAGGGTCAAAGCCAAGAGCTCAGTGGAGGCCAGAGAAGTCAGAGGAGCCCCCCCCCCC